TCACTGACGTGGCGTGAGGAGTCCAGGAAATCAACAAAGGGTTGTAACAAGTCTGCAATAGATTCAGCGACATCTTTATGGATTTTAAACATCAGTAACCACAATAGCATCCGATTTGTTCCAATTGACCCAGTGACCAATTGCAATGCAGCTTTTCGCACCCCTCCATACAATGGACATGAATACGATGGGAGTGCATTGTTACGCACAGGTTGCTGGAATAATCATAGCGGCAAACGCACACACGCACACACACACGCACACATACACACACACACACGCACACACGCACACACACACGCACACATACACACGCACACACACACACGCACACACACAAGCGTAACGAGGCCTCTGTGGGCTGTGAGCTATACGAAAGCATTGCATAAACCCTCAGGTACCGCCGTCCAAAGCCACCAGGTCCATTAAACATTCAGTCACAAGACAATGAGGATGATTGGCCCCTATGGCCTGGGGATTGACATAGTTTAGTGAAGTATATGAGAAAAGGCCAATAAAGCATACGTCTATGGAACAAGGTACCGCCGTCCAAAGCCACCAGGTCCATGAAACACTCAGTCACAAGACAATGAAGATGATTAGCCTCTATGGCCTGGGGATTGACAAGGTTTAGTGAAGTATATGAGAAAAGGCCAATAAAGCATACGTCTATGGAACAAGCTGTCATATAAAAAGGTTTTTTTTCTCGTAAAATGTCCGTGGAAAAGAACTTGATAATGACTATATACTCTTTGGTTCTTTCGGTAAAGTCACGTAGGTATAAAATAAAATAAATTAAATCACGACGTTTCGGGCGCAACACCACAAGCGTCCGTCATCAGGTGAGACAACCACAGCAAGAAACAATTATTTTCTACCTACGTGACTTTACCGAAAGGACCAAAGAGTATGGATCCCTGCAGTCACGAAAACATTAAATCTAGATTGATAATGACTTTCAGACATCAGTTTTCTCTAAGCGGGTGCCACATCTGCTGTAAATCACACGTATGCTCTCATTTTCTTCTATAGCCAAGCAGATTTTATTGTCCATTGTGTTGATGTCGGCTCCAGATTGGATGCTTGCAGCTGAACGTATAGGCTGACACATTGAAATAGCACTGGGGTTTTTATGGTTATATTCTTCAAAAGTATATTAAAAAAGGGTTTTAATTCTTGAATGCAAGAACTAGTTCATACTGTAGCAAAGCATTTTTGACCAGAAAACACATGGAGTGGGATGATCCTGCGCATGCCTATGTATTCATGAGTGTTATTGATATACATTGCACTGCCCGCTCATTTGCGTGTGATATAACTTAAGTGCAATTCTCTCACCTGGAATGCATCTGCAACAGCATTAAAATGAAAACGGAGTCGGCTCTGCTCAGATACATTATTGAAAAGGTCATCCAGCCCAGAGCGCCGAATAATTAATTTCTGGTTATCCTGGAACTCTTTTGCAAACTTCGATTCAAATCGGCCTCATAAAGTCGTGAGTGTGCATATTCTGCGGGGAATATTACAGGTAGATTTTGCTTAGCGCTCAGGATGCGTTCCTGGAGAAGTGAGCGCGAATCGAATCATTGTACTGTATCGATGGCGATGCGTTCCCGACGGCATTATTTTTTACGTATCAGCAATATGAGGGCTTTATTGGGGTATCGGTAACAGTGCTAATAATAATGCAAAGTTATTTTATAAATAAATTTACTTTATAAGTAAGAACGTTTTATCATAGCATCAATATGTACTGTGCTCACAAGTGCATCCAGCACTAACATTTGCAGACCTTTGTCCAGAAACGATGTGTCTAAAATGCTCACGAAAACACACAAAACTCAGGCAGTATAGGGGTGTATATTTTAAAGAGTATTCTTGCTAAGAGAATTCGCTATAAATAACAATTTGTAAATGTTGTGGCTTGGCTCTCCAACACACCGGTGTGCTGTACTAGTGACGAATTGGCACGTTCTGTTTACGTGACAACCCTTACTAGTTGGCTGTGTCGGGTGGTGACGGGTTTTAACGACACATTTATATATTTACGCGATATAACCCAAAAACCTCTATTATGGATGATATTGGTCGCGAAAGCCTACGTGTTAAACAATTTGAATTGAGACAAATTTGTTCACAAAACGGTGAAAAAAGTTCGTTTACCGAGCGGAGATCATTCAATAAAAATATGCGTCCCATGGCAGCAGGGGGCGCACAGAGGCTGTTTGTTTACCAGCTGTCCTGCACCGCGTGCCTCGCCTGTTTCGTGTTGTGGGGCAGCGGGGCTTCGTGGTGGCACTGCAGCGGGAGGGGAGCGGTGGCGGAACGGTTAGCGCGCGGCGCTACGAACCCGGTGACCCGAGTTCGATTCCTGCTCACGGCCAACACCAGTGACAATTATGTGAACCCGTCCTGGGCTTCCTCTAGGTCGACTCAGCCTCAAATGGGTACCTGTGCAGTGTGTAAACATCGCCACTCGGGAGACAAAGGCGGCCGGGCGTGGTGCTGGCCACCCACCCCTCGTGTGCTGTACCGGCCTTCATAGGTGCTCGCTAACAGCACTTACCTTCATAGGTCGCCAACAGTCTGTTAAGGGGTCGTCTATAAATGACGTCACGCACCTAGGGGGGGGGGGTCAGACATGTGTGACGATGGAGGGGGGGGGGTGAGAAATGTGACGTCACTTAAAAATGCGCAATTTTAAATAAATATAGACAACACGTTCTACTTAATGAAATAGACTTTAAAAATAAATGTTTTCTCCTACAACATCAGAGTGCAGCGCCACATTAAATACGCACTACAATGGCAATAGTTTAAAGCGATTTGAAGCATGTTTTATTTTTTGGGGGGGGAGGGTGGGCAAAGCTTTGTGACGTCATATTTGAGGGGGGGTCTGACTTTTTGTAACGCCGCGTGACGATGGGGGGGGGGGGGGGTCAAGAATCGTTCAAAATCGCGTGACGTAATTTATGGACGGCCCCTATGGTATACAGGAGGTTGTTGGTCCGATCCCAACCCTAACAACTGTATGTTTAGATTTAGCATGATCTCACCGTGGTCACGTGGATTTTTCCATCTACATTTATAAACGTTCGTTTAAGAAGATTTGGCTGCAATAGATTTCCACAATGTAAGCCACTGCGTTGGATTATCATGTGTGGCAAGGTCGCTTCTGAAAAAGAGCAATATAGTTCAGTGGGCCTTACCTGGTTAAAATAAAAAAAATACTATGGGGACCTCATTTGCCAGTAAAAATATGATAATTGGTTCTTTACCTTTCTATCTTGGCGTCATCTGGTCCAACCCATATGAGACTAGGCTCGAAGGAAAGCTGTCTCGGGTGTGGACCAATCAACTTCAAGGACAGTGCACATTATCAGAGTTATGTCTTTTGTTTGTATTTATGACTGCAGGTATTGCGGTCTATGCAAACATGACTCCTTGCAAAAAGGTGTCAGTTTTGTTGCCAGATAGAAGGGTAAAGAACCAATTATCATAAAAAAAATAGTTTAGTTTCCTGGTGACACTTGCTGGAGCCGACATTCATCCACGCACTGAATCATTGTGGAGTATTTGGCTTGAACAATGAAGTGCAAGGTGTGATACAATGATGTCGTCATGTACAAAGGGCAGGCTGTTGCATGTTCTGAGCTGTTTTTGTTGACATTTTGGGATATTGAAATTCAGAAAGGTGGCAATGTCCTCAGCGAGAGGAACACTTTTGTGTTTGTTTACTCCCGATGCACCATTTGGGAGATCGAGGGCCCTCTCCCTAGCCCATCTTTTTCAGCGCCCATTGTTCGTATGAAACGCAACATTCAAACCTTTGTCCCCGTAAATTGATAAGTGTCTCCGTTACTGTTTTCTGTGAGCAGGAATCAAGCCGAGGTTAAGATCACGAGGTACGAAGCACCGTGCCAAGCCTTGTGACGGGTTTGTGCTTAACCGTCAACAATGCAGCTCGAACCCTGCGGGTAAAGTTTGGAAAACCAAATGGAGTTCACCACAAGTCGCAAACACCTCGTGAAAGCCCCGACGACGTCCAATATTCCTGGCTTCGATCGTCCACGAAATTTCTGGGTCACAACCCTAAACCCCCTTCCACACACACACACCATGGCAGCTGCAGATGCGGACCTTGAAGATGATGCACAAATTGTAAAATTAAAAACTCTCCGGCAGTTGTTCAGAAAGTGGTCTCCCAGACCAGAACCACGGACCGTGTAACGACTTAATGCCCGATTCACAAACACGGTGATGAGCCACTCAGCCTGCGCCTGGCACAATAATCGATATAAAATGACAGTTGTTCTAGATCAGGGGTCGGCAACCTACGGCTCCGGAGCCGCATGCGGCTCTTTACGGGCTGCTTCTTGACGATATGTACGTATGTACAGTATGTACTCAAATGCATTGCGGCTCTTGAAATACTGAATTTTGTACCGAATTGGAAAGAAATGGCTCTTCTTGTTATTTTGGTTGCCGACCCCTGTTCTAGATCAACATCAGCCATATGAAGAACCGTGACTAAGACATGTTTATTTCATGAAAATCCATCACATCGCTGCATAAAATGGCTATGCAGCATCAACACAACTCGCTGGCCCCACGAGGTCGAAGTTTCGTATGAAATATTTTTGATACACAGTTCTGTCGTGGACACTTCGCATGTTATCTCACAATGAGTTATTTTTTAGGAAAAAGTTAACATAAGGGAAAAAAGTGCACCAGTTTATTACAATGTGTTGCTCAAGTAAAATACAGTAATGTTAAGTACAATGCTAATACTTGGAAATTGGTTTGATATGTATATAAAAGCAATCTAATGTATATTTAAGATTACACTCAAAACAATCTTCATTTTTATTCAGTTTTGCATTTATACTTTTTAAGAGGTGAATGTTAGATCATGATGTCTGTCTCGGCCTCGCTGTGCGCTGCGTTGCACCGCTAGGTGAGTAGTAAACCTCGCGTCCAATAAACCCTCAGAGCCAGGATGAACGTCCGACTTCAAACGTCATTTATTGAATTTAACGAGGTAAAACTGGTAAGAAAACAGCACAGATACAGCATCTTTTAGTACCCGGAAACACCAACACAATAAATGAACACCACAGCATAACATTGTCTTAGATAACATGTTTTTCAATAGATCCTGGATGGACCAGGCACCTACATTACCACTGAATAGCTATACAAGAGCATAAGCTACTGTGTTACATAAAGGCACACCGTGTTATCATCACACTGCACCCCAGATGTACAGTACTACACATAACACTGCACTATGAATTAGACATTTCGTCATCCTTGCTCTCCAGATCGCAATAAAGTTACTTGGGTACAAGTTTGACTCGACTCATTAAATTACAAGTAACATTCACAATAAAGAAAGTTGCAGGCTTCGTTGTTAACTAGGCCTCGAATTTATCATAACAATTTTAACAGCATTATAAAGGCATTTACATCATTATAACGGTCATTCTAACATTATGACAGCATTGCCAATATTATAAGTACATAAACGAACTTACAGACAATGCTTCTTAAAGTCCCACAATGGACAATTGCAGCTGGCTTCACTGGGACGCGATGTGTGCCGCCATCTTGAATTATGTGTGTAATGGCCGACAAACGCGTGGTTGAGCGGGAATCTTAAATCACAACTTCCTGATCACGTGACCAAACTTAGCATCAAAAACAGGAAATTCCTGTGTACATATGCCCCACATCTGCCGTGAGGCAAGACACCTGCCGTGAGGCAGAGCACTCCCCGTCTGGTATCTAGGAGATACCACCATTTATTTCCTATCTCATAAACAAATGGATAACAACTTCACCTTCTTGGATGTCTGGTCTGTTAGACTGGCACTTGCTGCGCACTTGGAGTGTCGTAAGGTACTCGTTTTTCCAGCGACGCCAGAACGTGTTCGCGAAGCTCTGCACTTGTCTCCTTTGACGTCTGTAGAGGTCTGCAGTGCTGGCCTCCTCGGTAGGTGCTGTGAGCACGTCTGTCTTCTGGGTAAGAAGTGTAGCAGGAGTCAAGATGAAGGGTGACTCCGGGTCGGTTGAGACAGGGATCAGGGGTCTTGAATAAAATATGGCTGAGACCTCGGTCATGATAGTGGTCAAGACCTCGTGAGAGAGCCGTGTGGACCCGACATCACATAGCATGAAGTTAAGAATGCGTCGAGCAATCCCGATCATGCGTTCCCAGGCTCCACCCATATGCGAAGAGTGGAGACGATTGAAGATTCATGTGCAGCCTTGGTCACAAAGGTATTTCCTGACAGAATCATCATTGACATTCTCCGTATTGATCTTAAGCTCTTTACATGCTCCAGCGAAATTGGTTCCACAATCAGAACGGAGTTGCTTGGCTGGCCCTCTGATGGCGAAGAATCTCCGGAATGCATTTATAAAGTTCGAAGAGTCCTTGGACTCGATGACTTCGATGTGCACTGCTCGTGTACTCATAGAGGTGAACAGCACTGCCCAACGTTTGCTGTTCGCGAGCTCTCCTCTGGTGCGGCGGGAGATGACTGTCCATGGTCCGAACACGTCGATCCCTACAGAGATGAAGGGAGGTTCCACACTGAGTTGATCGGCTGGGAGGTCTGCCGTTTTCTGTTTTTCCTCTTTTCCACATAGCTTGCGACACCTGATACACGTGGTGATTGTGCTGGTGATGCACCTTTTTGCTGCAACGATCCACTGCCCTGCAGATCGGATTGCTCCTTCTGTGAAGTGCCGACCTTGGTGCTTGACCTTCTCGTGGTAGTGGCGCACAAGTAAAATTGCAATGTGGCTCTGGCTTGGGATTATGAGGGGGTTTCGTTCATTTTCATTTAATTTTGCATTCTCTAGCCGACCACCGATCCTGAGCAAGTCGTCTTTGTCCATTCTGGGGTTTAGCTTCCTGAGGGTGATGACCCTAGGAAGGTCTTCTCCCTTGTTGATGGCCTTGATCTCAATTGCATAAGCTGCCTGTTGCACACAGCAGAAGATTGATTTCCTTGCTCTGGAAAGCTCGTCTTCAGTGCGTGGCACTGTGCAGTGATGCCATCCATTGCAGCTACCAGTGGTGCCTCTCATCGGGCGATGGAAGCAGTCTGCGATATGCGTTAGATGTGCTATCGCTCGCACGAGCGTCGTCCATTTCGAGAAATGTTCAAAATAGTGTGGACTCAGTGGACTTCTTGGTCGCACAGTGTTACGAAAGTTGTCACTTGAGGACGAATCTCCTTGTCTGACTCGGACTCTATGAGTCCAAAGTTCTCTTTGGTAGTACATGGGCCACCGTCATGTCGTAAGAGGAACGCTGGACCCGTCAGCCAGATGGTTTGCTTCAGCAGAGATGCAGGGACGATCCTAGTTGCGAGATCTGCTGGATTCTGGTCAGTTGGAACGTAATTCCATTGCTCCGGCTGCGTCGATCTCCTGATGCGCTTCACCGGTTGCTGATGTCGATGTAGAACCTTCTGGTTAGGTTGTTTATGTAGCCTAGTACGACCTTACTGTACATGTAGAACTTGACCGCGTCCAGTTTGACGTCCAAATCGTCTAAGATCAGTTCCGCCACCTCTGTAGCAAGAACGGCTCCACACAGCTCGAGCCTTGGGATGGTATGTTCCGGTTGTGGGGCCAGTTTGGCGTTGCTCAATATGAACCCAACATGCTGGACCGCCAGCTGAGTAGTTAACTTCGCGTCCAATAAACCCTCAGAGCCAGGATGAACGTCTGACTCCAAACGTCATTTATTGAATTTAACGAGGTAAAACTGGTAAGAAAACAGCACAGATGCAGCATCTGTTAATATCCGGAAACACCAACACAATGAATGAACACCACAGCATCATAACATTGTCTTAGATAACATGTTTCTCAACAATAGATCCTGGATGGACTAGGCACCTACATTACCACTGAATAGCTATACAAGAGCATAAGCTACTGTGTTACATAAAGGCACACCGTGTTATCATCACACTGCACCCCAGATGTACAGTACTACACATAACACTGCACTATGAATTAGACATTTCGTCATCCTTGCTCTCCAGATCGCAATAAAGTTACTTGGGTACAAGTTTGACTCAACTCATTAAATTACAAGTAACATTCACAATAAAGAAAGTTGCAGGCTTCGTTGTTAACTAGGCCTCGTATTTATCATAACAATTTAACAGCATTATAAAGGCATTTACATCATTATAACGGTCATTCTACCATTATAACAGCATTGCCAATATTATAAGAACATAAACGAACTTACAGAGAATGCTTCTTAAAGTCCCACAATGGACAATTGCAGCTGGCTTCACTGGGACGCGATGTGTGCCGCCATCTTGAATTATGTGTGTAATGGCCGACGCCCGCGTGGTTGAGCGGGAATCTTAAATCGCAACTTCCTGGTCACGTGACCAAACTTAGCATCAAAAACAGGAAATTCCTGTGTACATATGCCCCACATCTGCCGTGAGGCAAGACACCTGCCGTGAGGCAGAGCACTCCCCGTCTGGTATCTAGGAGATACCACCATTTATTTCCTATCTCATAAACAAATGGATAACAACTTCAACGGGTCAACTTATTTGTCCATATCTTTGCGAGAGACAAGTAGTACTGTCTCCACTATGGTCCTGACGAAAGTTCTTGCAACACCTTGCTTCGCAATCATAACCTCGACTTTTCTAACTTTTCCATCGGCGCTTGGAATCGACTTGAGGATGCGGCCCATTGGCCACTCATTCGGTTTGGCTTGGTTGTCCTTCAGTAGGACGAGGTCACCTTCTTGGATGTCTGGTCTGTTAGACTAGCACTTGCTGCGCACTTGGAGTGTCGTAAGGTACTCGTTTTTCCAGCGACGCCAGAACGTGTTCGCGAAGCTCTGCACTTGTCTCCTTTGATGTCTGTAGAGGTCTGCAGTGCTGGCCTCCTCGGTAGGTGCTGTGAGCACGTCTGTCTTCTGGGTAAGAAGTGTAGCAGGAGTCAAGATGAATGGTGACTCCGGGTCGGTTGAAACGGGGATCAGGGGTCTTGAATTAATTATGGCTGAGACCTCGGCCATGAGAGTGGTCAAGACCTCGTGAGAGAGCCGTGTGGACCTGACATCACATAGCATGAAGTCGAGAATGCGTCGAGCAATCCCGATCATGCATTCCCAGGCTCCACCCATATGCGAAGAGTGGGGACGATTGAAGATTCATGTGCAGCCTTGGTTACAAAGGTATTTCCTGACAGAATCATCTTCGACATTCTCCATATTGATCTTAAGCTCTTTACATGCTCCAGCGAAACTGGTTCCACAATCAGAACGGAGTTGCTTGGCTGGCCCTCTGATGGCGAAGAATCTCCGGAGTGGATTTATAAAGTTCGAAGAGTTCATGGACTTGATGACTTCGATGTGCACTGCTCGTGTACTCATACAGGTGAACAGCACTGCCCAACGTTTGCTGTTCGCGAGCTCTCCTCTGGTGCGGCGGGAGATGACTGTCCATGATCCGAACACGTCGATCCCTACAGAGATGAAGGGAGGTTCCACACTGAGTTGATTGGCTGGAAGGTCTGCCATTTTCTGTTCTTCATCTTTTCCACATAGCTTGCGACACCTGATACACGTGGGGATTGTGCTGGTGATGCACCTTTTTGCTGCAACGATCCACAGCCCTGCAGATCGGATTGCTCCTTCTGTGAAGTGCCGACCTTGGTGCTTGACCTTCTCGTGGTAGTGGCGCACAAGTAAAATTGCAATGTGGCTCTGGCTTGGGATTATGAGGGGGTTTCGTTCATTTTCATATAATTTTGCATTCCCTAGCCGACCACCGATCCTGAGCAAGTCGTCTTTGTCCATTCTGAGGTTTAGCTTCCTGAGGGTGCTGACCCTAGGAAGGTCTTCTCCCTTGTTGATGGCCTTGATCTCATTTGCATAAGCTGCCTGTTGCACACAGCGGAAGATTGATTCCCTTGCTCTGGAAAGCTCGTCTTCAGTGCGTGGCACTGTGCAGTGATGCCATCCATTGCAGCTACCAGTGGTGCCTCTCATCGGGCGATGGAAGCAGTCTGCGATATGCGTTAGATGTGCTATCTCTCGCATGAGCGTCATCCATTTCGAGAAATGTTCAAAATGGTGTGGACTCAGTGGACTTCTTGGTCGCACATTTGTTACGAAAGTTGTCACTTGAGCACGAATCTCCTTGTCTGACTCGGACTCTATCAGTCCAAAGGTTTCTTTGGTAGTACATGGGCCACCGTCACGTCGTAAGAGGAACGCTGGACCCGTCAGCCAAATGGTTTGCTTCAGCAGAGATGCAGGGACGGACCTAGTTGCGAGATCTGCTCGATTCTGGTCAGTTGGACCGTAATTCATTGCTCCGGCTGCGTCGATCTCCTGATGCGCTCCACCCGGTTGCTGATGTCGGTGTAGAACCTTCTGGTTTGGTTGTTTATGTAGCCTAGTACGACCTTACTGTCCGTGTAGAACTTGACCGCGTCCAGTTTGACGTCCAATTCGTCTAAGATCAGTTCTGCCACCTCTGTAGCAAGAACGGCTCCACACAACTCGAGCCTTGGGATGGTATGTTCCGGTTGTGGGGCCAGTTTGGCTTTGCCCAATATGAACCCAACATGTTGGATCCCTTCTGCGCTTGTGGTTTTTAGGTAAGCTACAGCTGCTACGGCCATCATAGAAGCATCTGCAAACACGTGTAACTCCTTCCGTTGGGTTACGGAAAGGGATGTGGGCGTGTAGGAATGTGGAATCTGCAGCTGCTCAAGTGCCTGTAAGGAATTTCTCCAAGTTTCCCATTCTTGTCGCCGTTCTTCCGTAAACGGGCTATCCCAGTCTTGTGTATCAGCACAAAGGTATCTAAGTATCCAACGGCCTTGCATGGTGACTGGCGCTACAAATCCTAGTGGACCGTACAGGCTGTTTACCATCGACAAGATGCTATGTCGCGTGTAAGGTTTCTCTCAAATTGATACTCGGAACGTGAACGTATCCGCTTTCAGGTCCCAACTCAGGACAAGGCTGCGTTGGATTGGTGGTGTGTCGACGTTAAGGTCCAAGTCTTTCAAGTCTTTTGAACGATCGTCTGAAGGAAACGCTTTTATCACTTCTGCGCTGCTGGACGCTATCTTGTGAAGTCTCAGGTTAGCAGTTGCTAACATTCCTTGCGTCCTTTGGAGCAGATCGATGGCTTCTGAGGCCGTGGGCATTGATTTAAGTGCATCGTCAACGTAGAAATCTCGCTCTACAAATCGCTTGGAGCCTTTCCCAAATTCCCCTTCTCCTGCCTGCGCGGTCCTCCTAAGTCCACAGGTGGCTACCGCTGGGGATGGGTTGTTGCCGAAGACATGCACCTTCATTCTGTATTCAACAATTCGATCATCGACATTGTTATTGTGGTACCAAAGAAACCTGAGGTAATTTCTGTCGTCTTCTCGGACAATGAAACAGTGGAACATTTGTTGAATGTCGGCTGTTACGGCGATTGACTCCTTTCTGAAACGGGTGAGTAACCCTAGGAGACTGTTGGTCAAGTCCGGTCCGGGGAGCATTACCTTGTTCAAGGAATGCCCTTAAATTGAGCACTGGAATCGAACACCACTCTGATCTGATCCGGCTTTGTTGGGTGATACACGCCAAAGATTGGTAAGTACCAACATTCCTGTTCTTCTTCTAGAGGAGAGGCTGCTTCAGCGTGACCACTATCAAATGTATTTTTCATGAAGGACACAAAATGATTCTTCATCTCTGTTTGTTGTCCAAGTTGCGGCGCAATGAGTTGAGCCGTGAGAGGGCTTGCTCTCTATTTTTGGGTAACCGGCATCTGGGATTACGAAATGGCAGAGGGGCAACCCAACTGTTTGACTCATCTTGGAAGAACTTTCTGTCCATTATTTTCAAGAATTCTTTATCCTCTAGTGATGAAGCAGGTTTGTCATCGTCCTTCGTGGTCACGAACACCGTATGTCCAACATCATCTTTCAGCATAGAGGTTTCTTCGTCGGCCTGCCTGGTACAGCCTTGACTTCTATCGTCGAATTTCTCTTTCAGCGTGCAGTGGTTGAGGCACGGTTTGAAGAGCGACATGCGTCCATTCATGAGCACACTCGTTCTGAATGTGCTAATGTGGTCTGGTGTGTGTGTTCCATCGATACAAACATCACCTACAATGACCCATCCTAGGTCGAGTCTCTGGGCGAAGGGAGCGTCGTGAGGTCCGTTGCGTTGATCACGAACTTTGTGGACTCTCAGCATGTCCCTGCCAAGCAGAAGTAAAATCTGTGCCACGTGATCCAATGGCGGGATGAACTCTGCTATAGGTTTGAGGTGTGGGTGGTGACGTGCGACTTCGGGCGTGGGAATCTCACTCCTGTCGTCCGGTATCGCATTGCATTCTGTCACCGTAGGAAGGGATAGCTTCATGGTGCTATCCATGGTTTCCACCATGAGGCCTGCTCGCTCTTCTTCCCGCTGTCTCCATCAGTCCTGAGCATGTTCTAAGCGTGTATGGAAAGGAATTCCCACCTACGCTCAGCTGATCAAAGAACTCTGCCCTTTCAGGATGTTCTTTGGGATACAGTCGGACGAGGCATATCTTTAAGCAAGATCTTCCTTTGAAGCATTCTCCGCAGACTTCTGTGCATTTGGTTGTGATTGAGGAAGTGAGTGCGGCGGTCTCGCCTTGCTCCCCGCCGTGCTATGCTTCGAAAGCCTTAGTGCCACTGGGTTTGTAGTAAAATGTGTGCAGAGCAATTGCCTGTTTGTCACTGTCACATTCCTCGCACTTGATATCTGCCTTGCAATTCCTTGCAAGGTGGTTTATAGAAGCACAGCATTTGAAGCACACTCCAAATTCTTTCAGCATGTTCTTCCGCTCTTCCAATGGTTTCCTCCTAAACTCACGGCATTTCTGGAGGGAGTGAGGTTTATCATGCAATGGGCATTGCTTTTCTGGATCCTCTATCTTTTTCTTTGTGGTGGTTGCCTGGACGGAGTTTGCGAATGTCGTAGGAGAGACCTCAGTCTTTTGTACGGAAATTGGCACTCTCGCTGTTCCTCATTTCGCCATTGCTCTTTCTATTTTTGGGAGATCTGGACTGGAAATCCCCGTGGTGCCAAACACGAAACTCGGGTCATTTCTGGTTTTAGCCAGGTTGCAGATAAACTTTGATAAAAAAAGAGAATGGGGGAAATGCAACCTGATGCTCTGACTTGTATCTTGAACCCGCTGTTCTCCATTTTTCCTGCACGTCAAATGGCAATTTTTCTACGATGGGGTTCACGCCATGGTAGGTATTCAAGAAAATGAGACCTGGTAAGTAGGGGTGAGCCTGGGCTGATTCAAGCTCCATCAAAAGATCTCCAAGCTCTCATAACCTTTTATTGTCTCTACCAGAGATGTTTGGAAAGTTCTGCAACTTCTTGAAGAGAGCTTTCTCAATGGTTTCTGGGCTACCATATCACTCCTCGAGCCTCTCCAACACCGCATGCAGGCTTGAGGCGGAGTCGTCTATGTTTGCCGACCGGATCCTCTTTGCGTACTCTGCAGATTCGTTTCCTAACCATTTCACCAACAGGTCGAGTTCTTCACTTGCAGAGATGTCTGCATTTCGGATTGCATTCCTGAAGGTAGATCTCCAGGCTCGATAGTTCTCAGAGTGATCATCAAATTTAACGAGTCCTGTGTTGATTAGTTCGCGGTGAGCCAGGTACCTAGCAAAGTCCCCTAATCCTGCTGATCCCGGGTGTGTCCATACTGGCGCTTGTGAGGTGCCATTATTGGCTGTATTGCCTTGCATGTCGTCATTTGCGATGGCGTTGGATTATGGGCCCAAAAGTTTTCGATCACCTTGGTTTGATCCCTTTATGTGACAGTCTAAAATGTGGGTCTGACTTGATGCATCCACGTCTGACCCCTCGTGTGCGACGCTGAGTCGGCGACTAACTGCCAGGACAGGATATGCATTTCCACCATTCCCGTAGACAGCACTCCTATTGACTCGGTGTGGAGATGACGATGCCTGAACGTCCACCCTTTGTTCAGTATCGTTTGGTGGAGGAGCATTGGTGCATTGTTCAGACCAGTCCAAAATATTTCTTCTGGTGAGTTGATCATGGTCCTTGACAGGCATCTGAGTGTCAAACTCACTCCAATTCTCTTCCTTATCCAGATTGGCTGCTGCTTCGAGCCCCTCTGCTTGGGCCCTAGCAGCAGATGCTTCTTTTTGAGCTGTAGAGTACTTAACTTAGCATCCAGCTCAATTTTCTTCCGAGTGGCGGTAGCCACTAATGTACTCTCTGCTATGCTTGCTTCTTCTTGTATGTGAGCCTTTTCCATTAGCATGACTTCCTCTTCAGCCATGTAGGCAATACGGGCGTTTGCTGCTTCTGCTGCTGCGCGTGCCTGAGCTGCTGCGATACTAGTAGATTATGTCTTTGAGTGTGCTGAGCCTTTAGATCTTGTGGTGGACCTGGATGAGACAGAGTGCTGAGATCGTGTCTCTCTTAAGCTCTCCACACGGTCCATTGCATCTTGTATCACTGCCTGCACATCATCATCGAGCAGTTCGAGGAAGTGCTCTTGCGTGTGCACTTCCTCAATGCCCTCATCTTTTTTCATCTTCATCAGGAGGAAGATGTATTTATTTGCCAGAAGCTTGTAGCTTGAGCTGCTCACCTTCACTCGCTGGATGGCCCGCTGAATTGAGGCCACTGTGTCTGAGGTGTTTGAAGCTTCAGATATATCTGTTTCAACTCAGTCCCATGCCCTTTGTATGCTGGCATCAAGGTCCTGCTTCTCAGCATCATAGCTTTCCAAGGCCCGTTGTGTCAACCTGACCTCTCTTTGGGGCCTTGAACTCCCTTGGTCCTCTTGAGGCAGGATGGGAGGTCCTGGATTGCTTAAATCACCTTCTTCAGCATCTCTCCCTGCTGAACTGTGGCTTTCCATGCTGCGATGCTTGCAAAACAATTTTTAATGTAGACTTGCTGCAGAGCTGGCTGCAGAGCTGGCTGCAGCGCTGGTTGCGAGCTTCAAGAAGAGTGTCTTTTTACTGTCTCGGTCTCGCTGTGTGCTGCGTTGCACCACTAGCTGAGTAGTTAACCTCACGTCCAATAAACGCTCAGAGCCAGGATGAACGTCCGACTCCAAACGTCATTTATTGAATTTAACGAGGTAAAACTGGTAAGAAAACAGCACAGATACAGCATCTGTTAATACCCGGAAACACCAACACAATGAATGAACACCACAGCATCATAACATTGTCTTAGATAACATGTTTCTCAACAATAAATCCTGGATGGACCAGGCACCTACATTACCACTGAATAGCTGTGCAAGAGCATAAGCTATTGTGTTACATAAAGACACACCGTGTTATCATCACACTGCACCCCAGATGTACAGTACTACACATAACACTGCACTATGAATGAGACATTTCGTCATCCTTGCTCTCCAGATCGCAATAAAGTTACTTGGGTACAAGTTTGACTCGACTTATTAAATTACAAGTAACATTCACAATAAGGAAAGTTGCAGGCTTCGTTGTTAACTAGGCCTCGTATTTATCATAACAATTTAACAGCATTATAAAGGCATTTACATCATTATAACGGTCATTCTAACATTATAACATCATTGCCAATATTATAAGAACATAAACGAACTTACAGACAATGCTTCTTAAAGTCCCACAATGGACAAATTGCAGCTGGCTTCACTGGGACGCGATGTGTGCCGCCATCTTGAATTATGTGTGTAATGGCCGACGCCCGCGTGGTTGAGCGGGAATCTTAAATCGCAACTTCCTGGTCACGTGACCAAACTTAGCATCAAAAACAGGAAATTCCTGTGTACATACGCCCCACATCTGCCGTGAGGCAAGACACCTGTCGTGAGGCATAACAACGTCATTGCATAAATTAAAGAAACATTCCCAAACATTGAACATAGCAATACAAAAAGTCATATTGAAACAGATTCTCAAAGTCACTTTCTATGCAAGGGTGGCAGCGTAGATAGGAAGGTGGGCGACTGGGGATGAGGCCGTGCCAGGAGTCGATGTCGCTGGCTGCTCAATGGCCACCACCCTCTCGGCCGCTGCAGGGAGGGCGCGGCGCTGAGCCTTGACCTTCAGCTTCCCGTCTTGGGTCAAGCAGCAGCTCACGCTCTGCGGGTCCACGTCCCTGGGCAGCTGCGTCTCCCTGTGGAACTCCTGGCAGCTGTGGCTGTAGCTGCCGCTGCCGACTTCTCCGCTCTTCACCTCGCGCCGTCCAGCCACCACCAGCTTGTCTCCAGACACCTTCACGGCCAGGTCCTTCGTGGAGAAGTCCTGCACGTCCAGGGACGTGACAAACCCGTCTCCCTGCTCCTGTGGATCTTCAATCTGGAACCCACTGCTCACGGCCGGCTGCTGCTGCAGCGCGTTTCTGAGGCTGTCCGGAGCCCACGTGTGGCTGCTGAGCTGACCGACTCCACGGAAGATTCTCTCCATCCTCTCCATCTCGCTCCTCATGTCTCGCTGCAGCTGCTGGAAGAGACTTTCACCGCAGGGCTTCCAAATAGGCCAGCCTGGCCAGACGCTCCTCTCCATCACGTGCATCGCAGGGAAGGAAACACTCAGGGCCATCCTTGCTTGTTGATGTGCTTCACAGTGAGTCTTGCTTGAGCTGTGAGCGTTGGTCTTCGTCTGGCGATGTTCTGCCATTACAGCTACAGGAGCTGCTTTTATAGCCCTGGCAGTGCTGACGAGCAGATGCCAGAGGGAGCCAGAAGCGTCCAGAATGACGCAGCTGCTCCCAGGGGCTTCCCTCACCCACAGAAAATAGCAGTGACTCAAGCCTTGGGCTCTGCTTTGTGACGTCTTCTATAAAATAAGAATGCTATTTCCATTCTAAACGAGCAGGCAAGATACAACTTTCATACACTCTAGTATTTTAAATATGAGTATTGCTAAAAACATTGATGTTATACTATAAAGCTGCATGTCCCTTGACTTGGCGAAGGATCGGGGTTTTAAACTCTACTTACGGTAATAATTGTTATTTTCACCTCAATATTACATTAAAAAGTGTATTTTCAGTGCCCAGATGGGAACATTGCTGGGTTTTTCTCTCTACATTTTTAAACGTAGTTCTAGACATGGACTTGACTATATTTGTGCCAAATGGCCACCAATGTAATGAACTGGAATCATTCCACTCCTGATATCATTTTGAATGAAAACATCTAAAGATGGTATTCAACAAAGCTACACAATAAAATGGTAAATTTTTCAGTGGCACAATTTTGGCATGTGCACAGATGTGCATGGTTGTAATATGTTGGCTCCTGTATTCCCTTCATGTGCTGTATTCAGTAGAGAAATCAGAATCTTTATTTCGATATAGAAGGACCACTGTCTGAATTTATTTTGTTTACAGCTGGTAGGATGGATGGATGTTAATTAAGAGCTATATTATCTTTAAATATGGAGGGAGAGCATTTTCATAACGATAATTAAGGTAGATATACATGGATTGCTTGTAATTGGCCCGAAAACAAAGGACTATTATTACAATGCCCAAGTATGGTTGCCACTTGTCCGGGTGTGACCCAATCAGGAACATATTCGAGTGGCAAACATTTACCGAGATCTCGTGGTATTGTGTTGAACATTATCACTGCAAACTGCTGCGTGGATAGATCTCGGCTGAATGAGAAATGTCTATGTTTAACGTGTGGAAAAGATGTCAACCCTATTGTAAAGACCATCTTTCTGTAATCCACATACGGTGTAGCCATTTAAGGTAATAAACTCTAACTCTAATTGGTAACTTCATCTATTTTGGCCCCACTTGCCACTAATACTGATGGAACGCACGGCATATACATGACACAAGCTCAGGCATGAGTCACTGCTATTTCTGGGGGGTGAGTAAAGTCCCTGTGAGAAGCTAAATCTGGACGCTTCTGGCTCTTCCTGGAATCTGCTCGTCAGCACTGCCAGGGCTTTAAAAGCAGCTCCCGTAGCTGTACTGGCAGAACATCGGCAGACGAGAGAACAGCGCTCACAGCTCAAGCAAGCCTCACTGTGAAGCACATCAACAAGCAAGCATGGCCCTGAGTGTTTACTTCCCTCCGATGCACGTGATGGAGAGGAGCGTCTGGCCAGGCTGGCCGGTCTGGAACACTCGCGGCGAAAGCCTCTTCGAGCAGATGGAGCAAGACATGAGGATTGAGATCGAGAGGATGGAGAGAATCTTCCGTGGATTCGATCAGCTCAGCAGCCACATGTGGGCTCCGGGAAACCTTCGAGTCACCCTGCAGCAGCCGGACGTGAGCAGTGGGTTCCACATTGAAGCTGCACGGCAGCAGGGAGACGGGTTCGTCGCGTCCCTGGACGTGCAGGACTTCTCCCCACAGGACCTGGCCGTGAAGGTGTCTGGAGACAAGTTGGTGGTGGCCGGACGGCGCGAGGTGAAGAGCGGAGAAGGCAGCAGCTACAGCCACAGCTGCCAGGAGTTCCACAGGGAGACGCAGCTGCCCAGGGACGTGGACCCGCAGAGCGTGAGCTGCTGCTTGACCGAAGACGGGAAGCTGAAGGTCAAGGCTCAGCGCCGTGCCCTCCCTGCAGCGACCGAGAGGGTGGTGGCCATTGAGCTTCCAGCGACATCGACTCCTGGCACGGCCACTCCAGCCATCCACGCACCCACCTTCGCAAGCACCCGTACATAGAATTTGGCGTTGGGCCAACCAAGATTGTTACTTTAACCGTACAATTTAGTTGTGTGTAGTAGCGTATATTGAAATGTTCTTCGTGAAATTGTACCGCTTCAATTAATTGTAATACTTTGAATACAAAACATGAATGGGTTTGGAAATAACTTAGTTTTTTTTGTTTAAAAAGCTATCAAATGTTGTACTGTCAATAATATGAAAGTGTACAGCTTAAACGTAGAGTGGTTTGCCTGGATAAATATTTCAAAGTCGTCTTTTGCACTGTAATACAAAGCTATTTGTTTTGGGAAACAAAATACCTTTTTCCGTTCTTCAGTTTTCATTCTAAAACATTAAATGCATCTAATATTCAGTATATATAAAGAACGTATTTATTTGCAATTTTAGATTCATGAATAAGTCAGAAATGGTTAATTATGTGGAGATTGGAGATAACTCTCCCCTCTGTATGTGGAGAAACAGCAGTGTCAGAAACTGTACATTACCCAACATTTTAAATAGTTTTAATTGTATTATGCACGATGCAACTGAAAGAAAACAAATGTTGAACACGAAGCCCTCGTATGTGCTCATAAGGTTGAATGTTTGACTTTTACAACTAAAATAAACAGAAAAAAGCATCTTCTTTTCACTGTTTTTTGCCCAGTACCTATCTGCAAACATTGGAATTAAACTTTTTGCAATTAACCATAATTAACCATAACCGTTTCACCAGGCGGTGGAGGCTACCCACATGCCCTGTAATCCGGCAATGTGGAGGTAGCAGCGAGCGTTGGTGGAACATCGCACAGATGTTGTGAAACTCCCTTCCTGGCTCGTAGGTAGTGTGGACACTCCATTTGTTCCATCTGTACAGGGTAGTGTTGCCCCCCTTGCACACGTAGGTTTTCTCCGGGCACACCAGTTTCCTCACACACGTAAACACTCAGTAACTGACCGATAACACCTTCATATATAGAGGACCGCAGAGATTGTGGGGTTTGAATTAGGCATTGGCTCACTGCCTGTGGTTCCTCCTTGCGCCTCAGAGTCATCCTCTTCTCTCCTGGTGAGGGAGTGATTCCTGTGCGGCAGGTGTGGCGGGCGCGTTACAAGTTGATGTGAATATACAGGGTGTTTAAAAAAGATGGACCCAATTTCAAAGCAGTATATTTCACGATGGCAACATGTTACAATTACACGAAAAAATTACCAACGGTTTAATGAGTCATCAAGTTTTACTAACCTTTATAAATGCTCTATGTGCCCTCCACCTGCTGTATGGACAACATCGAGACGATAGTTGAATTCGTCCCAAACGCCTCTCAAAGTGTCTTCTTCCACTGAAGTCACCGCTGCCGTGATTCTGTTTTTGAGGTCATCCAGATTAGTCGCTAATGGTGGCACAAAAACACGGTCTTTGACGTATCCCCACAACAAAAAGTCGCAGGGTGTGATGTCTGGGGATCTTGGGGGTCAAGAGTGTAGCGCCAAGTCTTGGGGTCCCGTGCGACCTATCCAACGTTGAGGCAGTGTGTCATTTAGAAAACGTCGAACCTGCAGGTGCCAATGTGGCAGTGCTCTGTCTTGCTGAAAAATGAAGTAATCGGAAATTCAAGTGGTAAGAGTTTCATTCATGGGCGGTTCGTGGTTGTAGGGATAAAGCGATTTCAAATCGGGACCATCTTTTTGAAACACCCTGTACATTGGTTTGGCAGGGTAGTGCGATGTTAATCCGATTTAAAGAGCCCCCGTTACTCAAGACGTTTGACATAACATACAAAACGGTGACAGAATGGTATGATGTAGTTGACAGGGGCATGCTACAAGGATTGAGGTAATGAGGTACTTAGGGATCACAAAGGGATTGGGAGGGAAAGGAAGGAGTGGTGGGGAGAGAGGAAGGGAGAGGCAGGCAACGGGCAATAGGGAAGAAGTGAGCTTTAAGAGAGGAAGAAGGGTCCCGGGTTCGATTCCCAACTCGGGCACCCCTTCTGTGTGGAGCGTATGTATGTTCTCCCCCAGTTCTGCAATTGAAAGACTTTACAGTTTTTTTAAAATTAATCTTTTCATAGAGAATCACAACAAAGTAATATTGCACGAACCTCGAAGGGCTGCGGGGCCTCCTGCAGCTCCTCGCCATCCTGCCCTCCCCCCTTATCGCCCCATGCATAACCAGCCCCATGCTTAACCAGCTCCATACATAACCAGCTGCTTTCTGACGTATGTACGCAAAAAAACAAACTCACTAACTTGTAAGATTCTTTCATGATTGAAATTATAATTTTGGATGCTCGGTGATATTGGATGCTTGTGCGAGGCAGGACACTTAGTGCATGGCTATGAATAACAGACGTGTCACAACATTCCGCCAACGCAAAGATTGTTCCGTTGCTGCAGTTACAGCAAATGATCAGATTCCACTTCAAGAAATCTAATCAGGCGCCAATGCTGCTGCGTACCGTTTTCAGTAGGTACAACGGAGAAGTGTCATCCTCATGGGTCTCATCATACTGGTTTGGCCTCAAACATCTACCATTTAAAGATATTGATCCAAGATTATCAGTAACATTGGGAAGCATTATTTTTGTCTGTAGATATTTTTTCTAGATTTTACTTTGAGTTCCATAGCGGATTAAAGAAAAACGGGAAGGAGCCTATCGGCATCAACATCAGCGATGGCACAAGTCCCATTCAGCAGACGAGCAACTCTTGCCGACATTGCGACCGATGCTTCCGCTCAAGGGCTGGGCTCTTCCCACCAGCGTGCAGGAAAATGCTACTACTAGCTGTTCTCGGCAGTCATCATGGTTCGCGATTGCCAGCCGAATTTTTTTTTTCAGCAATCAAATCCCGCTTGTATAACTTTTCACCCTTAACTGCTGAAACATATCTTTCAAACTGAGCATTGCCCACCAGTTGCCACTCGGCCGCGTGATATCGCAACAGCACCTGTCAGTCTGAGTGCACTCTGCAAACCGTGCATATAGAAAACACAACAAAGATATCAATGGAGCAGAGGGAGCTCACAGAACATGGGATGGATTGCCTCCAAACCAGACGTTGTGGTTAATGGTGGGATGAATGGCAATTATGACTTCACACAATTACTATGCACCCATCAACTATTTACAATGTTTAGATTTTATTTCACTATAAATATAAAAGTAGCATATCCAAAACATTCACATGTGCATTTCAATATTTCGGATGCACGTGGAAATCCAAAGGTAACAGGGACATAGTTCAAATTTACAAAGCAGCCGACACTTACATCATGAGCTGCCTTAAATTATTTGAGGAAAATCGCGTGTGAAGAGGAAATATATCTATGTCTTCCATGGGCTGGGTTTTATATAGTTTTCAAAATACTTCCTCCAAACAATGCTTTGAAGTTAGTGATATTAATTTTCCATTGTAAGAGATGCTGTTGTCCCATTTATAAATAAAAAAGAACCCGCATTCCCCACATCAGCAACGGGGTTTCAATCGGTAGTTTTGTCAATGCATCCCAAGGCCACGTCCGTCCGTCCAAACAGCAGCAGGGACCGCCCCCACTCGGTGCTGCCCAGGCTGGACAGCAAGCGCATGTCTCCCTCCTCTCTCAGCAAGGCGACCAGCTCCTCGGCCTCCGTGCGGCCGCTACCGCCGCCGCCAGCCCCACGCAGGAGCCGCAGATCCGGCAGGAGGGGGAACTCGGGCAGCCCCAGACGGCGCAGGCGGCGCGCGGCCGCTCGGTAGCACTTCCACGGCTGCGGTTCGACCAACAGGAAGGTGGCGGCGCGCGCGGCGGCCGCGAGGAAACGTTGCAGGCCGGCGTCTCCGTGGTGCAGGTGAATCCACATCGTCACCGACATGCAGAGGCACAGGTCAAAGCGCGTCCGGCCGTGGCGTCGCAGGAAGGCGTCCAGCACGGCGTCTCGGGCTGCGGTGTCCATGAAGTCAAACGTCTCGTAGGCGATATCCTCCGGGTGAGGATTGTGGCCCCGCGCACGCTCCACCAGATCGGCGTCCAAGTCGCAGGCCAGCACAGACAGCGGCACGCGGGCAAGCTGCCCAGAGCGTCCAACCTCGGGCTGGTCCAGCCCCGTCAGGTGGCGATACATAGCCACTGTCAGCTCCTGTGAGAAACCACGGGGCCACCAGTGGCGGGCAAGCAGATGTTGATTTGCTGGAGAATGTCATAAAAAAACAACATGATGCGAGGATGGAGAACTTCATTATTGTTAATTATTGTTGAGGAGGTTCCAATGGTGAACTTCATTATTCATAATGAAAAATAAGTTAACACCTCAGTGGGCTTTGCCTGGCAGGATGGGGTTGGTTTAGTTATATTTGTATGTGTTTGGGTGATTTGTTTACCTTTCTTGTACTTGGCACTATCGTGTTTTGTATTTTGTTGTTGTAACGTTCTTACCCTCCCCTACTAGACATCTGCGAAAAAGAGCTTTATCGCTCATCAGATTCCTCCAGCATGAATATTCTGATTCTGGCCACAGTATTAGCTGCAACTTTATTCAATACAAACCTATGACGCAGTGATTCTAGGTCAAAAAAGCCAACGAGACCAAGCTCTATGTTCAGCTACTGGCATAAAAATGCAACTTTAAATATCTAATAAACGCGTTCAAACCAGTGATATGTCCGAACCAGTCCTTGACACGCACTTTCAGCAACCTTCATTGCCAAAACCACCCGTGACCAAAAGTTAATTGACAAAAGGTCTGGAGCTAACGATGAATTTCCATGACTCACGTGTTTGTCATTCACATAATGATGAACAACGTCCATATGGGGCAGTGTATTCCATGTCTTACATAGCCACCCACACTACCCCACTGCGATTAGTGCAGCCCCACACCACACACAGTGATTAGTGCAGCCCCACACCACACACAGTGATTAGTACAGCCCCACACCACACACAGTGATTAGTGCAGCCCCACACCGCAGACTGTGATTAGTACAGCCCCACACCACACACTGTGATTAGTGCAGCCCCACACCACAGACTGTGATTAGTGCAGCCCCACACCACACACTGTGATTAGTGCAGCCCCACACCACACACAGTGATTAGTGCAGCCCCACACCACACACTGTGATTAGTGCAGCCCCACACCACACACTGTGATTAGTGCAGCCCCACACCACAGACTGTGATTAGTACAGCCCCACACCACAGACTGTGATTAGTGCAGCCCACACCACACACTGTGATTAGTGCAGCCCCACACCACACACAGTGATTAGTGCAGCCCCACACCACACACTGTGATTAGTGCAGCCCCACACCACACACTGTGATTAGTACAGCCCCACACCACACACTGTGATTAGTGCAGCCCCACACCACAGACTGTGATTAGTGCAGCCCCACACCACACACTGTGATTAGTGCAGCCCCACACCACACACTGTGATTAGTGCAGCCCCACACCACACACTGTGATTAGTGCAGCCCCACACCACACACTGTGATTAGTGCAGCCCCACACCACAGACAGTGATTAGTGCAGCCCCACACCACACGCTGTGATTAGTGCAGCCCCACACCACACACAGTGATTAGTACAGCCCCACACCACACACAGTGATTAGTGCAGCCCCACACCACACACAGTGATTAGTGCAGCCCCACACCACAGACTGTGATTAGTACAGCCCCACACCACACACAGTGATTAGTGCAGCCCCCCACTACCACACACAGTGATTAGTGCAGCCCCCGACTACCACACACCGTGATTAGTGCAGCCCCCACTACCACACACAGTGATTAGTGCAGCCCCCCACTACCACACACAGTGATTAGTGCAGCCCCCACTACCACACACAGTGATTAGTGCAGCCCCCCACTACCACACAGTGATTAGTGCAGCCCCCCACCACACACAGTGATTAGTGCAGCCCCCCACTACCACACACAGTGATTAGTGCAGCCCCCGACTACCACACACAGTGATTAGTGCAGCCCCCCACTACCACACACAGTGATTAGTGCAGCCCCCCACTACCACACACAGTGATTAGTGCAGCCCCCACTACCACACACAGTGATTAGTGCAGCCCCCCACCACACACAGTGATTAGTGCAGCCCCCCACTACCACACACAGTGATTAGTGCAGCCCCCGACTACCACACACAGTGATTAGTGCAGCCCCCCACTACCACACACAGTGATTAGTGCAGCCCCCCACTACCACACACAGTGATTAGTGCAGGCCCACACTACCACACACAGTGATTAGTGCAGCCCCCCACTACCACACACAGTGATTAGTGCAGCCCCCCACTACCACACACAGTGATTAGTGCAGCCCCCCACTACCACACACAGTGATTAGTGCAGCCGCCCACTACCACACAGTGATTAGTGCAGCCCCCCACCACACACAGTGATTAGTGCAGCCCCACATCACACACAGTGATTAGTGCAGCCCCCCACTACACACAGTGATTAGTGCAGTCCCCCACCACACACAGTGATTAGTGCAGCCCCACATCACACACAGTGATTAGTGCAGCCCCCCACCACACACTGTGATTAGTGCAGCCCCCCACCACACACAGTGATTAGTGCAGCCCCCCACCACACACAGTGATTAGTGCAGCCCCACATCACACACAGTGATTAGTGCAGCCCCCCACCACACACTGTGTTTAGTGCAGCCCCACACCACACACTGTGATTAGTGCAGCCCCACACCACACACAGTGATTAGTGCAGCCCCACACCACACACTGTGATTAGTGCAGCCCCACACCACACACAGTGATTAGTGCAGCCCTACACCACACACTGTGATTAGTGCAGCCCCACACCACACACTGTGATTAGTACAGCCCCACACCACACACTGTGATTAGTGCAGCCCCACACCACACACAGTGATTAGTACAGCCCCACACCACACACTGTGATTAGTGCAGCCCCACACCACACACAGTGATTAGTACAGCCCCACACCACACACAGTGATTAGTGCAGCCCCACACCACACACTGTGATTAGTACAGCCCCACACCACACACAGTGATTAGTGCAGCCCCACACCACACACAGTGATTAGTACAGCCCCACACCACACACAGTGATTAGTACAGCCCCACACCACACACAGTGATTAGTGCAGCCCCACACCACACACAGTGATTAGTGCAGCCCCACACCACAGACTGTGATTAGTACAGCCCCACACCACACACAGTGATTAGTGCAGCCCCCCACTACCACACACAGTGATTAGTGCAGCCCCCGACTACCACACACCGTGATTAGTGCAGCCCCCACTACCACACACAGTGATTAGTGCATCCCCCCACTACCACACACAGTGATTAGTGCAGCCCCCACTACCACACACAGTGATTAGTGCAGCCCCCACTACCACACACAGTGATTAGTGCAGCCCCCCACTACCACACAGTGATTAGTGCAGCCCCCCACCACACACAGTGATTAGTGCAGCCCCCACTACCACACACAGTGATTAGTGCAGCCCCCGACTACCACACACAGTGATTAGTGCAGCCCCCCACTACCACACACAGTGATTAGTGCAGCCCCCCACTACCACACACAGTGATTAGTGCAGCCCCCACTACCACACACAGTGATTAGTGCAGCCCCCCACCACACACAGTGATTAGTGCAGCCCCCCACTACCACACACAGTGATTAGTGCAGCCCCCGACTACCACACACAGTGATTAGTGCAGCCCCCCACTACCACACACAGTGATTAGTGCAGCCCCCCACTACCACACACAGTGATTAGTGCAGGCCCACACTACCACACACAGTGATTAGTGCAGCCCCCCACTACCACACACAGTGATTAGTGCAGCCCCCCACTACCACACACAGTGATTAGTGCAGCCCCCCACTAGCACACAGTGATTAGTGCAGCCCCCCACCACACACAGTGATTAGTGCAGCCCCACATCACACACAGTGATTAGTACAGCCCCACACCACACACAGTGATTAGTGCAGCCCCACACCACACACAGTGATTAGTGCAGCCCCACACCACACACTGTGATTAGTACAGCCCCACACCACACACAGTGATTAGTGCAGCCCCACACCACACACAGTGATTAGTACAGCCCCACACCACACACAGTGATTAGTACAGCCCCACACCACACACAGTGATTAGTACAGCCCCACACCACACACAGTGATTAGTGCAGCCCCACACCACACACAGTGATTAGTACAGCCCCACACCACACGCAGTGATTAGTGCAGCCCCACACCACACACAGTGATTAGTACAGCCCCACACCACACACAGTGATTAGTACAGCCCCACACCACACACAGTGATTAGTACAGCCCCACACCACACACTGTGATTAGTGCAGCCCCACACCACACACAGTGATTAGTGCAGCCCCACACCACACACAGTGATTAGTGCAGCCCCACACCACACACAGTGATTAGTGCAGCCCCACACCACACACTGTGATTAGTGCAGCCCCACACCACACACAGTGATTAGTGCAGCCCCACACCACACAGTGATTAGTGCAGCCCCACACCACACACAGTGATTAGTGCAGCCCCACACCACACACAGTGATTAGTGCAGCCCCACACCACACACAGTGATTAGTACAGCCCCACACCACACACAGTGATTAGTGCAGCCCCACACCACACACTGTGATTAGTGCAGCCCCACACCACACACTGTGATTAGTGCAGCCCCACACCACAGACTGTGATTAGTGCAGCCCCCCACTACCACACACTGTGATTAGTGCAGCCCCACACCACACACAGTGATTAGTGCAGCCCCACACCACACACAGTGATTAGTGCAGCCCCACACCACACACAGTGATTAGTGCAGCCCCACACCACACACTGTGATTAGTACAGCCCCACACCACACACAGTGATTAGTGCAGCCCCACACCACACACAGTGATTAGTGCAGCCCCACACCACACACAGTGATTAGTGCAGCCCCACACCACACACAGTGATTAGTACAGCCCCACACCACACACTGTGATTAGTGCAGCCCCACACCACACACAGTGATTAGTGCAGCCCCACACCACACACAGTGATTAGTGCAGCCCCACACCACACACTGTGATTAGTGCAGCCCCACACCACACACTGTGATTAGTGCAGCCCCACACCACAGACTGTGATTAGTACAGCCCCACACCACAGACTGTGATTAGTGCAGCCCACACCACACACTGTGATTAGTGCAGCCCCACACCACACACAGTGATTAGTGCAGCCCCACACCACACACTGTGATTAGTGCAGCCCCACACCACACACTGTGATTAGTACAGCCCCACACCACACACTGTGATTAGTGCAGCCCCACACCACAGACTGTGATTAGTGCAGCCCCACACCACACACTGTGATTAGTGCAGCCCCACACCACACACTGTGATTAGTGCAGCCCCACACCACACACTGTGATTAGTGCAGCCCCACACCACACACTGTGATTAGTGCAGCCCCACACCACAGACAGTGATTAGTGCAGCCCCACACCACACGCTGTGATTAGTGCAGCCCCACACCACACACAGTGATTAGTACAGCCCCACACCACACACAGTGATTAGTGCAGCCCCACACCACACACAGTGAATTAGTGCAGCCCCACACCACAGACTGTGATTAGTACAGCCCCACACCACACACAGTGATTAGTGCAGCCCCCCACTACCACACACAGTGATTAGTGCAGCCCCCGACTACCACACACCGTGATTAGTGCAGCCCCCACTACCACACACAGTGATTAGTGCAGCCCCCCACTACCACACACAGTGATTAGTGCAGCCCCCACTACCACACACAGTGATTAGTGCAGCCCCCCACTACCACACAGTGATTAGTGCAGCCCCCCACCACACACAGTGATTAGTGCAGCCCCCCACTACCACACACAGTGATTAGTGCAGCCCCCGACTACCACACACAGTGATTAGTGCAGCCCCCCACTACCACACACAGTGATTAGTGCAGCCCCCCACTACCACACACAGTGATTAGTGCAGCCCCCACTACCACACACAGTGATTAGTGCAGCCCCCCACCACACACAGTGATTAGTGCAGCCCCCCACTACCACACACAGTGATTAGTGCTTAGTGCAGCCCCGACTACCACACACAGTGATTAGTGCAGCCCCCCACTACCACACACAGTGATTAGTGCAGCCCCCCACTACCACACACAGTGATTAGTGCAGGCCCACACTACCACACACAGTGATTAGTGCAGCCCCCCACTACCACACACAGTGATTAGTGCAGCCCCCCACTACCACACACAGTGATTAGTGCAGCCCCCCACTACCACACACAGTGATTAGTGCAGCCGCCCACTACCACACAGTGATTAGTGCAGCCCCCCACCACACACAGTGATTAGTGCAGCCCCACATCACACACAGTGATTAGTGCAGCCCCCCACTACACACAGTGATTAGTGCAGTCCCCCACCACACACAGTGATTAGTGCAGCCCCACATCACACACAGTGATTAGTGCAGCCCCCCACCACACACTGTGATTAGTGCAGCCCCCCACCACACACAGTGATTAGTGCAGCCCCCCACCACACACAGTGATTAGTGCAGCCCCACATCACACACAGTGATTAGTGCAGCCCCCCACCACACACTGTGTTTAGTGCAGCCCCACACCACACACTGTGATTAGTGCAGCCCCACACCACACACAGTGATTAGTGCAGCCCCACACCACACACTGTGATTAGTGCAGCCCCACACCACACACAGTGATTAGTGCAGCCCTACACCACACACTGTGATTAGTGCAGCCCCACACCACACACTGTGATTAGTACAGCCCCACACCACACACTGTGATTAGTGCAGCCCCACACCACACACAGTGATTAGTACAGCCCCACACCACACACTGTGATTAGTGCAGCCCCACACCACACACAGTGATTAGTACAGCCCCACACCACACACAGTGATTAGTGCAGCCCCACACCACACACTGTGATTAGTACAGCCCCACACCACACACAGTGATTAGTGCAGCCCCACACCACACACAGTGATTAGTACAGCCCCACACCACACACAGTGATTAGTACAGCCCCACACCACACACAGTGATTAGTGCAGCCCCACACCACACACAGTGATTAGTGCAGCCCCACACCACAGACTGTGATTAGTACAGCCCCACACCACACACAGTGATTAGTGCAGCCCCCCACTACCACACACAGTGATTAGTGCAGCCCCCGACTACCACACACCGTGATTAGTGCAGCCCCCACTACCACACACAGTGATTAGTGCAGCCCCCCACTACCACACACAGTGATTAGTGCAGCCCCCACTACCACACACAGTGATTAGTGCAGCCCCCACTACCACACACAGTGATTAGTGCAGCCCCCACTACCACACAGTGATTAGTGCAGCCCCCCACCACACACAGTGATTAGTGCAGCCCCCCACTACCACACACAGTGATTAGTGCAGCCCCCGACTACCACACACAGTGATTAGTGCAGCCCCCCACTACCACACACAGTGATTAGTGCAGCCCCCCACTACCACACACAGTGATTAGTGCAGCCCCCACTACCACACACAGTGATTAGTGCAGCCCCCCACCACACACAGTGATTAGTGCAGCCCCCCACTACCACACACAGTGATTAGTGCAGCCCCCGACTACCACACACAGTGATTAGTGCAGCCCCCCACTACCACACACAGTGATTAGTGCAGCCCCCCACTACCACACACAGTGATTAGTGCAGGCCCACACTACCACACACAGTGATTAGTGCAGCCCCCCACTACCACACACAGTGATTAGTGCAGCCCCCCACTACCACACACAGTGATTAGTGCAGCCCCCCACTACCACACAGTGATTAGTGCAGCCCCCCACCACACACAGTGATTAGTGCAGCCCCACATCACACACAGTGATTAGTACAGCCCCACACCACACACAGTGATTAGTGCAGCCCCACACCACACACAGTGATTAGTGCAGCCCCACACCACACACTGTGATTAGTACAGCCCCACACCACACACAGTGATTAGTGCAGCCCCACACCACACACAGTGATTAGTACAGCCCCACACCACACACAGTGATTAGTACAGCCCCACACCACACACAGTGATTAGTACAGCCCCACACCACACACAGTGATTAGTGCAGCCCCACACCACACACAGTGATTAGTACAGCCCCACACCACACGCAGTGATTAGTGCAGCCCCACACCACACACAGTGATTAGTACAGCCCACACCACACACAGTGATTAGTACAGCCCCACACCACACACAGTGATTAGTACAGCCCCACACCACACACTGTGATTAGTGCAGCCCACACCAACACGTGTTGCAGCCCACACCACACACAGTGATTAGTGCAGCCCCACACCACACACAGTGATTAGTGCAGCCCCACACCACACACAGTGATTAGTGCAGCCCCACACCACACAGTGATTAGTGCAGCCCCACACCACACACAGTGATTAGTGCAGCCCCACACCACACAGTGATTAGTGCAGCCCCACACCACACACAGTGATTAGTGCAGCCCCACACCACACACAGTGATTAGTGCAGCCCCACACCACACACAGTGATTAGTACAGCCCCACACCACACACAGTGATTAGTGCAGCCCCACACCACACACTGTGATTAGTGCAGCCCCACACCACACACTGTGATTAGTGCAGCCCCACACCACAGACTGTGATTAGTGCAGCCCCCCACTACCACACACTGTGATTAGTGCAGCCCCACACCACACACAGTGATTAGTGCAGCCCCACACCACACACAGTGATTAGTGCAGCCCCACAACCACACACAGTGATTAGTGCAGCCCCACACCACACACTGTGATTAGTACAGCCCCACACCACACACAGTGATTAGTGCAGCCCCACACCACACACAGTGATTAGTGCAGCCCCACACCACACACAGTGATTAGTGCAGCCCCACACCACACACAGTGATTAGTACAGCCCCACACCACACACAGTGATTAGTGCAGCCCCACACCACACACTGTGATTAGTACAGCCCCACACCACACACAGTGATTAGTGCAGCCCCACACCACACGCAGTGATTAGTACAGCCCCACACCACACACAGTGATTAGTGCAGCCCCACACCACACACAGTGATTAGTGCAGCCCCACACCACACACAGTGATTAGTGCAGCCCCACACCACACACTGTGATTAGTACAGCCCCACACCACACACAGTGATTAGTGCAGCCCCACACCACACACAGTGATTAGTGCAGCCCCACACCACACACAGTGATTAGTACAGCCCCACACCACACACTGTGATTAGTGCAGCCCCACACCACACACTGTGATTAGTGCAGCCCCACACCACACACAGTGATTAGTGCAGCCCCACACCACAGACTGTGATTAGTGCAGCCCCACACTACCACGTGGCATGCCCCCCCCCCCCCCCCCCCCACTTGGGGCCCCCCTTTCTCGCCACGCTCGCCGCGTCTTCTGAACGCGGACCGATGACTTTAAAGTATTTTAATGACGCTTCAAACCGCACTCGTGGACATTCTTAAGGGGGTTGACGTTTGTTTGTTGATGTTTAGCTTCAACGCGCAAGATTTCGCAACGTTTCTCTCACGGCCACGTGAACGTCCCCAGATTCTCAGAACCTTCACACCCTCCCCCACCCCCCGGTCCACGCGGACGTCCTCGGCCCCGTCCGTGGGAACGTCGAGTTGCGCTCACCCCGCTGTTGCAGCCCACGTCGAGGGCGAGGACCGGCGGCGGCGACTCCGCCAGGAGCCGCCTCAGCAACTCGCGGGGCAGCAGCGCGACGCGCCGCGCCGGGGGGTTGAAGGCCGCGTAGTTGATGAAGTTCCCGTGGGGAGCCGCGCCGGGCTCCCCCTTCCTCGGGGCCCCGGGCGCTGCCATGTCCTCCCCGTCCTCCTTCTTCATCTCCTCCTCCTTCTCTTGTTTCCCCGCCTCCATCGGGGTTCCCCTGTGGCCGTCAGCGAGGAGGCTGTCAGGGGGGATCGGCACGAGCAAGAGGGGGGAGCGGGACGCGCGAGTGTGTGGAGGCCGAGTCAGCCATGTTACGTAGGGATGTGAACGTCAAGGCAGAGTCAGCCATGTTACGTGGGGAAGTGAACGTCAAGGCAGAGTCAGCCATGTTACGTGGGGAAGTGAACGTCAAGGCAGAGTCAGCCATGTTACGTGGGGATGTGAACGTCAAGGCAGAGTCACCCATGTTACGTGGGGAAGTGAACGTCAAGGCAGAGTCAGCCATGTTACGTGGGGATGTGAACGTCAAGGCAGAGTCAGCCATGTTACGTGGGGAAGTGAACGTCAAGGCAGAGTCAGCCATGTTACGTGGGGATGTGAACGTCAAGGCAGAGTCACCCATGTTACGTGGGGAAGTGAACGTCAAGGCAGAGTCAGCCATGTTACGTGGGGATGTGAACGTCAAGGCAGAGTCAGCCATGTTACGTGGGGAAGTGAACGTCAAGGCAGAGTCAGCCATGTTACGTGGGGAAGTGAACGTCAAGGCAGAGTCAGCCATGTTACGTGGGGAAGTGAACGTCAAGGCAGAGTCAGCCATGTTACGTGGGGAAGTGAACGTCAAGGCAGAGTCAGCCATGTTACGTGGGGATGTGAACGTCAAGGCAGAGTCAGCCATGTTACGTGGGGAAGTGAACGTCAAGGCAGAGTCAGCCATGTTACGTGGGGATGTGAACGTCAAGGCAGAGTCACCCATGTTACGTGGGGATGTGAACGTCAAGGCAGAGTCAGCCATGTTACGTGGGGAAGTGAACGTCAAGGCAGAGTCACCCATGTTACGTGGGGATGTGAACGTCAAGGCAGAGTCACCCATGTTACGTGGGGATGTGAACGTCAAGGCAGAGTCACCCATGTTACGTGGGGATGTGAACGTCAAGGCAGAGTCAGCCATGTTACGTGGGGAAGTGAACGTCAAGGCAGAGTCACCCATGTTACGTGGGGATGTGAACGTCAAGGCAGAGTCACCCATGTTACGTGGGGATGTGAACGTCAAGGCAGAGTCACCCATGTTACGTGGGGATGTGAACGTCAAGGCAGAGTCACCCATGTTACGTGGGGATGTGAACGTCAAGGCAGAGTCAGCCATGTTACGTGGGGAAGTGTGAACGCCGTGGAGGAGTGAATGCAGTGAATAAATCAATAATATATGAATTAGATCATTTATTTACTTTGATAACTTTACAATCAATCGTACATTTGTATTGTACTAGTTTAATGTCTGAAGGTTAAGTTTTATATTCTCGAGGCTGAAACAAGTTATTTTTCAAAAAGAATGACATTAATAGGCGCATGCATTGAAAGTGCAATTTTAAATAAACCGTGTCAGTCTTCAAATACTGTTTGGTTATTCGACCTTTTTGGAATCCCTATTGTCTCCTGAACCCACAAACAACAGAGTTATTGTTGGGGTGGAGAGAAGCACAGCCAGCAGCCAGCCAGGAAACTCGAGACATAGAATATTTTAACACATTCCTGTGGAGGGAGCTGGTAGGAACGTTGGGTTGCTCGGTCAATGGCCAGGGTCACCGGCGGCGTGGTGTATTCCGCAAATATGCCCGACTGTGAGGGCGGTCACAAGCCGGCGTGAGTAGGTCAAACGTTGATAAAGGCACCACGGGGTGACCAGCCCCTCCCCTCCCCACCCAGCCCCACCCCTCTCACCCCCCACCCTCCCCACCCAGCCCCTCCCCACCCTCCCCTCCCCACCCAGCCCCTCCCCATCCTCTCCACCCAGCCCCTCCCCACCCCACCCAGCCCCTCCCCACCCTCTCCACCCAGCCCCTCCCCACCCAGCCCCTCCCTGCACGACGGACACAATAATCCCCTGTGGGCTGGTGTAACCAGGAGGTTCCCACCAGTAATAGCAGCGTGACTTGCAGTGCTAAAGCAGCGATGTTGTCATGTAACTATTTACATTCTCTGCGTCGCAACATTTAATGGCAACTGATTTTTTCTGTGGCACGCTTGTCCCCACGATTAGAGGACCAATTCCTTAGCGACGTATTTACTACTAATTGAAGGGTGATAAATGTGAAATGTGAAGTGGTAAGATTGATCTTTGATCATTGCAAGCCAATCCCAAATTGTGAGTGCGGAGTGACTGGGTAGGACGACCACACAGGCAGGACCCGACAGCGTGAGCCTGGCGCCTTGGGAGTTGTCATGGACAGGGAGCAATGAGGCGGCGTTACCGGTTGTCTTAGTTTTGGGGAATTCTGTCTCAAGAACTCTGATCCACAGCAACGATGAAACAAACACAATTCAGAAAAAAAGAACAGTGCAACTGTTTCATGAAATTAAGAGGCATTTTATTATGTTAAAAAAATATTCGTCATTTACCATTGCCAAAAAAGAGTATAGTTTTGTTAATAAATATTTAGATTCAGTTAAAAATGGGCACTACGTGAAAAATAGCAATGTATAACGATGAAAAATACTTGAAGATAACATTTAGCATTATCTTATTGTAATATATGATCGTGTAATTGCAAATTAACACGATGCAATACAATTTGACAATCATGCACAGCGATACACTTACTCCAATGGAGTTGAATGTGAACTCTGAAAAATGAAATATTAGTTAACATAGCGTGAATAGAAACTGCTTTAACTAAACACATTCCTGTGGAGGTGGTAGGAACGTTGGGTTGCTCGGTCAATGGCCAGGGTCAACGGCGGCGTGGTGCATTCTGCAAATATTCCCGACTGTGAGGGCGGGCACAAGCTGGCGTGAGTAGGTTAAACGTTGAGTTTTATAAGGGCACCACGGGGTGACCAGCCCCTCCCCCCCCCCAGCCCCACCCCTCCCACCCCCCACTCAGCCCCACCCACCCCACCCAGCCCCTCCCCACCCAGCCCCTCCCTGCACGACGGACACAATAATCCCCTGTGGGCTGGTGTAACCAGGAGGTTCCTACCAGTAATATCCGTACAATAAAAACATCAATGAAGCAGGTTGCTGTAATGGATGCTCCAGGACGCCACTCTACGCGTGAGTGGAGCCAGTGGACTGAGAGGCCGTGCCAGGAGTCGATGTCGCTGGCTGCTCAATGGCCACCACCCTCTCGGCCGCTGCAGGGAGGGCGCGGCGCTGAGCCTTGACCTTCAGCTTCCCGTCTTGGGTCAAGCAGCAGCTCACGCTCTGCGGGTCCACGTCCCTGGGCAGCTGCGTCTCCCTGTGGAACTCCTGGCAGCTGTGGCTGTAGCTGCCGCTGCTGACTTCTCCGCTCTTCACCTCGCGCCGTCCAGCCACCACCAGCTTGTCTCCAGACACCTTCACGGCCAGGTCCTGTGGGGAGAAGTCCTGCACGTCCAGGGACGCGACAAACCCGTCTCCCTGCTCCTGTGGATCTTCAATCTGGAACCCACTGCTCACGGCCGGCTGCTGCAGCAGTGCGTCTCCGAGGCTGCCCGGAGCCCACGTGTGGCTGCTGAGCTGATCGACTCCACGGAAGATTCTCTCCATCCTCTCGATCTCGCTCCTCATGTATCGCTGCAGCTGCTGGAAGAGGCTTTCACCGCGGGGCTTCCAGACCGGCCAGCCTGGCCAGACGCTCCTCTCCATCACGTGCATCGCAGGGAAGTAAACACTCAGGGCCATGCTTGCTTGTTGATGTGCTTCACAGTGAGGCTCGCTTCAGCTGTGAGCGCTGCTCCCTCCTCTGCCGATGTTCTGCCAGTGCAGCTACAGGAGCTGCTTTTATAGCCCTGGCAGTGCTGACGAGCAGATGCCAGGGGGAGCCAGAAGCGTCCAGAATGACGCAGCTGCTCCCAGGGGCTTCCCGCATCCGCAGAAAATAGCAGTGACTCGTGTCTCAGGCTGCATTCTGTGACAAGTTCACTACAATAGCATCCAGTTCACGCTGCCAACTTTAGCACTACGTATATTTTAAAAATAACATCGTACAGAATGTATAGTTTGCATTAATAAAGTTTAAAGTAAGACACATTCGTTGGCTTTGCTCATCTCACTGTGTGCCTCAGTCTTTCCTGATAAGGCTGATGATGTCATTGTGCTGTGTAAGCGAGAATGTAAGTGTCGGTTTGTATCACGCTTCAAAGTGTAGTAATTTCAATTCAATATTGAAGAGCACATCACTCTGTTTTACAATCATTATATCACTGTGTAATGCATTTTTATTTTGATCCTGGGTAGTAAGTGTTATTTCCTAATTGCGTATGCCTAAAAAGTACAGAAAACGGCTATTATTCCTCACAAACTTTGCTTTTGTGACCAGGACATTGATAATTTTAAATTTACCTATTTTCAATGAGAAAACGTGTGCATTTGTGTCATTCCTTCACGTAAAGTCCTGGTCACAACAGCAAAGCTTGTGGGGAATAATAGCCATTTTCGATCATTTTGAGGCATTAGCAATTAGAAAATAACACTTACTACCCAGGAACAAAAATCGGTGTACATAGTGAATTATCAGTGCATAGTGAATTATCAGTGCATAGTGAATTATCAGTGCATAGTGAATTTTCAGTGCATAGTGAATTATCAGTGCAGAGTGAATTCCATGCCAGTAAAATGCTCACAGACTGCAGCCTGAGACACGAGTCACGCTCTTGATTCTCTGCCGATGATGGAAGCCCATGGGAGCAGCTGCGTCAATCTGGACGCTTCTGGCTCCCCCTGGCATCTGCTCGTAGCTACTACCAGGGCTATAAAAGCAGCTCCTGTAGCTGCACTGGCAGAACATCGGCGGAGGAGGGAGCAGCGCTCACAGCTGAAGGGAGCCTCACTGTGAAGCACATCAACAAGCAAGCATGGCCCTGAGTGTTTACTTCCCTGCGATGCACGTGATGGAAAGGAGCGTCTGGCCAGGCTGGCCGGTCTGGAACCCCCGCGGTGAAAGCCTCTTCCAGCAGCTGCAGCGAGACATGAGGAGCGAGATCGAGAGGATGGAGAGAATCTTCCGTGGAGTCGATCAGCTCAGCAGCCACACGTGGGCTCCGGGCAGCCTCGGAGACGCACTGCTGCAGCAGCCGGCCGTGAGCAGTGGGTTCCAGATTGAAGATCCACAGGAGCAGGGAGACGGGTTTGTCGCGTCCCTGGACGTGCAGGACTTCTCCCCACAGGACCTGGCCGTGAAGGTGTCTGGAGACAAGCTGGTGGTGGCTGGACGGCGCGAGGTGAAGAGCGGAGAAGTCAGCAGCGGCAGCTACAGCCACAGCTGCCAGGAGTTCCACAGGGAGACGCAGCTGCCCAGGGACGTGGACCCGCAGAGCGTGAGCTGCTGCTTGACCCAAGACGGGAAGCTGAAGGTCAAGGCTCAGCGCCGCGCCCTCCCTGCAGCGGCCGAGAGGGTGGTGGCCATTGAGCAGCCAGCGACATCGACTCCTGGCACGGCCTCTCAGTCCACTGGCTCCACTCACGCGTAGAGTGGCGTCCTGGAGCATCCATTCCCGTGTCTGGTTATTTAAACAGTATTCGTGCTGGAATTTAATTTGATACAATGTCATGAATTTTGTATTTTAAGTCTTCATGAGAATGTTTAAATATATGTAATGTGTCGTATCTTAACAGTAATTTAACATCCTGCAGGACGTTATTTTCAATGCGACTCATTAGATTAAGAATGTTGCATTTTACGGGGCAACATTAAGTACAATATTGTAAGCAATTTATTGTTTACACACGAATATAGTTATTTAGGTGTACATGTACGTTCCTGCTTTGAGCTCTTACTGTTAACATTGTATGCAGTACATAAACAAAAACAACGTTTGATTTGTGGCTTTCGTCCGTATACTGTATTTTTTTTAAAGACATTTTTAAATAAAGTTTTTGTTGCATAAAACCCAATGTTCTAAGTCCAGTTTATATACTGAACCTCATGATGCACAACTGAGGATGTTGAATTATTAAGCAGCATTTTAAATTATTTTAAATGAACGGTGAGCTGAGTACAGCCGAATGGACATCAGTGTAGTGACGTAAATACTGATATGAAAATACATATTTAAACTGCGCAATAATCGATCAAAATGAACAAAATTTGATCAAAATTAAATCTCCAATGCTTGACATTTAATCAGCCGCATAGCCGATTCATGGTCAGGATGTTGTGTATGTTTGCATGGGCATGGCGAGAGTTGCCACCTGTCCGGGAATATCCATCTCTGTTCATTTGGTAGGTATCAATTTGTACCGAGATATAGCACCCTTATTGTGTCGTTTACTGTGAAGTTCTGATAATTATAGACCGAGTGCTGACTGAGAAATCTGTCCAGGTTTGGTCTACAGTCAAAAAGTTGGCAATCTCATAGCAACACCCTCCTGTGTCTCCAGTGTGAATATGCAGTAGAGTCACTTGTTCAACGCAGCGTATGTTTGCTTGGTGAACTTCTTTCGCACCGTACGCAGCCAACCATGCTTTAATGGAGGTGCGGGGGAATAACAAACTGAACGCAAAAAGAACAGGGACACAGATTGAAAACACAGAAGTGCATTTACACGTAGGGCGGTTGTTGAAGGGGGAGAGGGATGAAAAGTATTAAGAGAGACGTATCAGGGCAGAGCAAAGTGGTTATTGTAATCTGAACTTAATAATAAAACGTAAGAAAGCATTTTGCCTTAAGCAGAATGCTCGTTAATCAGGGGACATGACCTGCAATAACAGACTCATCACAAACATGGCCATTGATGAAGACAATGGAGCCAATGTTGAGAAGTGCACAAGGAAGCGTAGACATGCAAATGCTAGGAATTATACTGAGACTGGAAGCAGGACACGTCAATTGGATATCATATGCAAATTAAAGGCATTATTTTAGTTTCGAAAGTTGGGGTGAGGCAGGACACAACCTGAAGGGATGACGGCCGGTGGACGAGACTAACGTGGGAATGGGAGCTAAAGGAGGGAACACAACCAACAGAGTCGAATGCGAAGATGGAGCGAATAAATCAAGCTGTGGGAACGAGACAGACAGATTTTTGCATCGGAAATCCGCAAGAGATGGTGATGGCTTCGTACAGAAGTGGCGAAATCACGGCTGGAGATGGTGACGGCTGCATAAGTAGCTTTCGAAAACATTTACACGATATCAACTTCAAAAACATCCAATTACTAAAACACATTTTCATTAAATGTGTATTCAGAAAGATAAACGATAACAATTTGCCGTTTTCTATATGCTATGTACGTGATGTCCCCCTGTGTGTTCCCTCGCTATATGTTTCACCCCATTCCCACCTGATGATGAGCGCTTGTGTTGCGTTCGAAACGTCGTGATTTATTTTAATTTGATTACATTTTATTCATTAAAATTTTATTTTATTTCTACATACGTGACTTTACCGAAAAAACCAATGAGTAATAGTAAAGGAATTACATAGTTTATTTTGCTAATTTACAATAAAGCGTAATTTTTTCATTGTACTATTTTCATATGTATTCTTGGTTCTTTCGGTAAAGTCACGTAGAAGGGAAACAATAAAATAATAACGTCGTGAGAAATTTTTTTTGTTTTCCTTCTTCGTGACTTTACCGAAAGAACCAAGAATATGAATCCCTGCAGTCACGGAAGCATTAAATCAAAAGTTTAATATGTCTTAAGGGTTTTTTTTTATTCTCTAAGATAAAAAAATGTTTTGACAAAAAATTTACATTTAAAGGCGCATTATTTGAAAGTGCTATTTTAAATCAATCGTGTCATTCTTCGATAGTTTTGGTTATTCCCACCTTTTTGGTGCCCCGAATGTCTTATGATCTTCTGCCATTTCAACTAATCGTAACGTTTATTTCTTCCACGACAAATTCCGTGTAGCGAGCTGCAAAACGAATTTTGTTGGCAACAGCCCAAAGCCACTAACAACAGAGTTATTGTTGGGGTGGAGAGAAGCACAGCCAGCAGCCAGCCAGGAAATTCGAGACAGAATATTTTAATAGCAGCGTGACTTACACTGCTACAGCAGCATTGCTGTGCTGTAACTGATTTCCATTCTCTCAGTCGCAATATTCAAGGGCAACTAATTTATCCGTGTTTACGATTGGCCATACGATGTGAGAAACAACTCTTCACGTTAGGATTTGTTAACAGTTGAAGGGCGATAGAAGTGAAATGGGCTTTGTGGTAACATTTCACGTAAATCATTGCAACCCCGGCCCCAATTCTGAGTTGCGAGTGACTCGGCAGGACGACCACACAGGCAGGGCCGACGGCGTGAGCCTGGCACCTTGGGAGTTGTCATGGACAGGGAGCAATGAGGCGGCGCTACCGGTTGTCTTAGTTTTGGGGAATTCTGTCTCAAGATCTCTGATCCACAGCAACGATGAAACAAACACAATACAGACAAAAAGAACAGTGCAACTGTTGTATGAAATTGAAAGGCATTTTATTATATTAAAAAAAACATTCGTCAAAAACGATTGCCAAAAACAGTATAGTATTGTCAATAATAATTTAGATTCAGTTAGAAATGTATACTATGTGAAAAATAGCAATGTACAGCGATGAAAAATACGTGAAGATAACATTCAGCATTATATTTCAATATATGAACGTGTAATGGAAAATTAAAACGATGCAATACAATTTGACAATCATGTACAGCGATACACTTACTCCAATGGAGTTGAATGTGAACGCTGAAAACGTAAATATTATAAGAACATATCGTGAATAGAACCCGATTCAACAAAATATCCATGTAAGTAAATCATCAAT